ATGCTGCTCGCTGCATCAACTGCACTTATCTGAATCACAGAAAATCAACAGGTTAACAGGACTGAATTATATTAAATTTATTTCTATTAAGTTTATAATATTACTGCTAATACAACTATTTGACCTGATGTGGGGTGGAACTGGCTTCCACTGGTTGAAGTCTCACTGATGGAGCCTGATGGTCTCAGTCCTGCTCTGATACAAAGGTCTGGAGACAGGTCCTCAGTGGGTCCACAAACAGATTCAGGTCCATGTTGAATAAAAGTAAATTAAAAAGAACACTGTCTACACATACTGGTCACTGAAATCTGAAGGAAGTGGTTTGGTAGTAGTTAAAAATAGATTAACTTGGTTAAACACAGTTTAACTTTGATTTATGGTGATTCTAATTAAAATCAATGTCCGTGTAGTTCTGACAAAGCTTTAAAAATGTAGCCAACAAGGTCTTAATAAACAAAACAAAATATAGTCAGAGGAAGCTTTTTAAACTCACAGTTAACCAGTTAGGTTTTTGTTCTTTTCAAGCCGTTCTAAATAAAGTTCGACTGAACAGGAAACATGAGGCTGTTTTTCTTTCCTATTCATTTCATCATGCTAACGCTAACACCATGCTAACAACAACAATCAACGAAGCTCTACTTTCCACATAGAAACTGTTTAAACACATCCTCTTACAAGTACTGACAAGTACTATGTGTACCAAATGTGAAATAAATAATACAAACTACTATTAAAAGTAAAAAGAGTTTAACTTACAGTTGTTTAGGGGTTTGATGGTGGACTTCAGTCCCCCTGCTGGCCGGGTCAGAGCACTGCCGTTACGTGTTTTTGAACTTGCATTATTTTTTCCATTATGCAGTCGGTTTTATGAATACATCAGTTTTCCTTTTTGGTTGTTCTTCATAAATCCACTATCTACTTTATTGTTGTACTACATGACATGAATGACAAACTGAAAAGCCTCCAAATGCTTTTCCCTTCAGCAAATTGTTGTGTTTATAACGAGTTCATCTGGTCCCAAATGAGGCAGTGGTCATGTCCCCCTAGTGGTCTGGCTTAGTTACTGTTTGCAATCGATCTTTTCGGTGTTCCATGAATAATGTCTCTTATTTTGACAGGTAAAAGAATTGTACTTGTAAATTTAATTCGTACTTGTAATGTGGCAAAGTTGTAACTTTTTAACTTGTATTTGTAACTTAAAAACTTGTATTCTCACATAAGAATTGAACTTGTAAATTTGATTCGTACTTGTAATGTGGCAAAGTTGTAACAAATTTATGTACATTTATAGACTTACATGTACGAATTTAGACTCTTACACATACAATAATTCTGACAGTTATCTTATCCCATAGTAGACTTTGTTTTTTGACAAATTCTTGTTCAGTTTTCATTTAAAATTTGAATTAAAGTTCTGTTTTTTGGCTGGAAGCTGATGTAATGATATTTTAGCAACAAAGCTAATAAATTAATTTTAGCGCAGGTTAAGTTTGTTACTAGTTTATAAAGATAAAGTAAAAGCTAAACTGCTCATCAAAATTTTAGTTCCGCTAAAAGCAGTTTAGTGGATGAGTGAAACTGTGTCCACCACTGCAAATAACCATAGAAATGTATATAAAAACTAAATAATGTGTGTAAAAGATTAGAAAATAGCATTTTGAAGCATCTGAAATGTTGGAGATGGCAGCAGTGAACGTCTCAGTTTGGTCAGAATTAATCAGTTTCTCAAAACTGGGGTTGTTTAAAAAGTTATCTACAACAGGTAAGATATTAAATCTTGATAAGCTCCATATTTGTATAATAGCTAAGTATAATTACTTTGTTACAGTACTTAAGTTTTTTGTAATTTTACTAAGTATTTATAATTGTAACTTTTACTTTTATTTCATTGCATTCAAAACATAAAAATGATACTTTTACTTCTTTACTTTAAAATTTAACACCTCATCACATGCTACAAATTGAAATAGGACTGAACTCATCATGAAAGAAGTTGTTTATGCACTCTAAAAAATTTAAGTGTTGAATTTACTGGGTCCACTGCACTGAGTGAAGTAACTGTAAACTATACTCAACTCATTTTAGTGGAACCAGTTTGGTTACATAAATTTATCACTTCATTTCTTTGAGTGTGTGTGAATGTACTTTTATTTTTAATTTCCTGATTATTGTGAACAATTTCATGACTTTTACTTAAGTACTTTAGCTTATCAGTGAAGTAAATTTTTACCAAAGCTGTTTTTTGTTACAGTATTTTCTCTTTTACTTAGTTATTTCTATTATATACTCCTTTGATAATCTTCCAATAGAACCCTACTTCAAAAAATCAGAATTACCAGTTTTTAACACTAAAAATCACTCCTATATAATTTTAGTCCATCTTTGTTAGATGTTCAGTTTCAGTCTTAAACGTCACACTGTTCTAACAAATGTTTCTCCTGCAGGTTTCATGCCAGTGACCAACAAACATCCTCAGTTAATGAACGATCCCCAAATCTGTGACATCAAAACTGTGGCTTAGAGGATCATTCTAAATTTTGTGTATTAAAATGTGTGTGCTGTGTGGAACCAGACTTGTCACACCATGACTCAGTTTGTCTTTGTAATAAATCTTAAAACATGCAAACACTGGTTTCATCATGTCGAATCTGTTTTGACTCAGATTAAAACACTTTGACCCTCGCCTAAAGAACAATTTTATTAATGCAGTTTCTACAGATTGTCTTTGTTTGCACTAACACAATTAAAAGAAAGACCCATGAGATATTTTGAGAGATTATTCACAACCTCTTAAAAACAAACCGTATTTCGGTAAAAAAAAATTTTTTGTTTCAATTTTCCATTCGTTTTCAGTCACCACATTCAGCAACAGGAAAAAGGTTTATGTTTGAGAAACTGTTTAGGTCTGCAGATTTAATGAGACATTTAATTTCTCCCCTACTAAATGTTTGTGCAAACTCTACTTGTTTAACATAAAAAAATGGAACATTTTTTATGTATATACTATAAATATGTTCATTTACAGCATGTTGCATTATGAACTTTCAATTGTTTGGACAAAAGGAGTTTAGTTTATTCTTGTGAAGAATAAATTTGCCAGAGACAAGAATTAATTAGTTTAGCTTTTTCTTTGGCCTGAAATGAGATCAGCTAAATGAGACTTTGTCAAAGGAAAGAAAAATCCAGTATTATTTTTAATCCTAGGATTTTATAAATTCAGGTTCTAAGATTATTTAAATGTAACCTTGTCACAGTTGAGGAAAAATTATATGAATATATACAGTATATCATATACGGTACATATGAGTGACAATTGCAGCACTAACACTTGGATTATTTGCTATTTATTGTATTCAATGGAGCAGACTCCTTATTCTCATCTGCTTTAGCAGCTAATTTGAATGCTTCTCCAAGGTTTTGCAGATGTTTAAAGTCTTGATTATGTAGACAAGGTGGAAGGAAACCCTAAAGCTCTATTGGACACAACACTGTTTGTGTTCATAGGGCAAACAAACCAAAACATCTACTTTAAAAATATAACTGAGGCAGAGTATTAGAGCTCATAATAAACCTCAGTTCTGTTTTGTTATACTGTATTTAAGTCCTGGAAGTATACATGCATGTAAATGAATAATAATTATCAGAAAAAAGAGGTTGTAATAAGTCTCTTTATTCTAAGAGGAGGAATAAAAACCAGGGGTTCCTTTATTTCACATTTATCACAAATTGAGACAAAAAATGTCTGAAACTGCCTGAACCCTTTGGCCGGAGGACTCGGATGAGAAATAAGAGAAAACTTAGCATTGCAGTTCTGATCTAAACATTACAGCTGCTGAACCATTACTGAACACTTGAAATAAATAAACATGTTTATCAATAAAACGGTACAAAAACAACTGTCAGGAAGTGCTTAGTTAAAAGAAACAACCATGGTAAGCCCTTTTACATATAAACACATAAAATCCATTTCCTCAAACGAATATAAATATGCAGATGTTTATTCTTTTAAAATAAAATTTCTTAAAGGGATGTCATTAAAATGACTATTTTCTATGTCTAATTTTGCGACACCACAATAATAAATAAAAGGAAAATTTGAAAATGAAAGTTTGTTGACACAGATAAAAGAAAATTCCAAGAGGTCAATTTAAAAGAAACCAAAGAAGTCACCTACATATTTCTATTTATTTTCTCAGGTATTGGTTTTAAAGTAAACAAAGTGACATCCCATGAACTCAGAGCTGAAGGAACTGGAAGAGTTTGATGGAGAATCAAGACTTGCTCCTCGTCAGTTTCTTCTTCCTCCCCAGCAGTCTCTCTCCCTGCCTCTTCTGACCGTGTGCTGGACTCTTCTGTGGCGAATTTAACGACTCCTGTACGGTGTCTGAGTGCATCTCTGCAGTGGGACCGTGTTCATCAGGCACAGGGCACGCCTGCAGGTTCAGAGTCTGCGTGAGGAGCATGGGGGCGGAGCCGAACAGAGCTTCCACGGCTTGGAGCAGCAGCGTGTTGTTCCTCGGCTCAGGTGGACTGCAGGTTTCTGTGAGACGGTTCAAATGAGACGAAAAAAAAAAAAAAGGAGGAGTCTAGGTAGATCTGTAACTCACCAGTAGCTTTTCCTGCTGCAGTCTTCCGCTTCTCCTCAAGTTTCTTCTTTAGAGCTGAAACCTCCGCCTGAAGCGCTTCAACTGCACACTCGCTCTCCTCCACATCTCTGCACATTTTCTGTCCACAGATCACACAGAGCAGGTGAGGCAGTGCATCAACAGGACAATCATTGTACCCGTGGGAACTGGGCACTGGTCCCCACGAAGCTGCCTTTTTCTGGAAAATGGTTCCCACCATGTAGCACAAACCGTGCCCACACACCCCCCCTCTCACCTGCAGCTCTGCCTGCAGCGACTCGTTCATCTTGTTCACTTCATTCACCTCCTTCAGCAGCCCATTGGATGCGAAGAACTTGGAGCTGAAACAGAGGATTAGTGATGAAGTGAGATATGAACCCATTCCGACAGCACGGGCCGTGTGCACAGAGATACCCGTGTTTCTTCATGGTCAGGTTGTATCCTGCTGCAGAGCACAGAGCCGGCACCTTCCAGTAGGCCTGCTGCTCCAAAAGACCCAAGTTGGTGACCAGAACTGGGATGTTCACGAGGCACCTGCGAACATGGTGAACAGAACACAAATCTTAGCTTTTATTTATTCTATAAACAAAATTTACTGTCATTTGCACAAGAAATGCATTTATTAGTTGAGTAAAGTAAATACACAAACACATCAGCAGCTGATAAAAAAAAAACACTTCACAAAAACTTGCATGATTATGATGCTAGATCACAAGTACAGAAAGTAAGTAAGTTCTTTGAACACTGCAGGGGAGGCTGCTGCAGATAAATCACACATGCACAAACATGCTGCCTGGCTTACAAAGCAGGATGCAATTTAATACTGTAATGTTTTCTCACTGACACTGTTTCTCTAAAATAAATCCCTGGACCCGGCTGCATTTGACTCACAGTCTCTGTCACTTCTCCATCTCGTCTTTCTTTATAAATACATTACATGACCCTTACAGAAATGTTCTTGTTACTTTAGAATATCTTGGCACAGCTCATTCACAAATGATCTTATTCTCAACTTTTGCCTCAAAATAACAATACTTCTGTCATCTCTCATCCTTACAGTTTTTAGTCGCCTTTTCTTTTCAGAATAACTTTACATTTTCAATTTTAAACTGGTGTTTCGAATGATCTAATTAAATTTTTCTCTCTTTCACTTTGTTTAAATCCGAGGATTATTTGAACGACTCAATTTATATCTAATATGAGACCAAAGTGTAGCTGTTAATGTTTAAATGTAAACAAATGTATCTAACTTAGAAACAAAACACAACGCTGATGATTTTACTAATTTACTACAAATTATGAGGTAGATTTTATGGTCGTGAACGACGCATGCACACATACAAAAAAATTCTAATAAAAAATATTGAATAATCATGGATTTTGACAGACCTTTTGGTTTTAACTGGTCTCCTAGAATATTAAACAATATCTAATATAACTTCAAAAATGAGCTGACGTTTTGAACAATGTTTTAACATCATCTAATAAAAACATAAGCAATTTTTTTTTTTTTACAGGAAATCCACAGAGAAACAGAAACATGTTAAAGTTGTCTAACTTCTCCCTACTCTAATCCAGGGGTTCTCAAACCTTTTGGGTCTGGGGACCCCTTACAAAAAAAATCCCAGGGACCCCCTCATAAAACCCATGCTGTTTTAAAAGATAATGTATTGTCATTTCAACCCCTAAATTCCATGGGAATATGTGACCCATCATATCGACATGAGGATTAAGTCAAATTTGGTCAAAATGACCTAATTACATTTTCAGATTCCTGGCTTTAAAAGCTTAAATTTTGATACCTGGATCATCCTGATATCATCAGCTTATCCAGAGATATGACTTAATTTGTCTTGATGGTTATGATGTTTGGTCTGAATCCTAATTTTATGTAAATTTATTGAGTATTTTTTTATTTTAATATAAAGAATAAACCTTAAATATTATTTGTATACTAAGACTGCCCAGTTGGAAAGAAACAAAATCATTGTTAGCTCACAGGGAAAAATTCAAAATCAGGTTTTTTGTTGCTACTGCTCAAAAAAAATGCTTCAAAAATGTTTTTAGGATTATATTTCAGACAGTTCACTCAAATGATTCATTGATAAGGCATTAATTAATTATATTTTGACATAATGCAATTGTTGCAAACGGTTAAATCAAAACCCTGTGTTTCTCCACATCCCACTTTTGGACTTAATCCTCGTTTCAATATAATGGCTCACATTTATATTTTTATTTAGTCTATTATGTTTGTTTTATTAGTTCATTGTTCTCCATGCATTTTTAAAAATAAAAAACAAATTAATAATTTAGTGAAATTTTTTGAGGACCCCCAAGATACCTCTCACGGACCCCAGTTTGAGAACCTCTGCTCTAATCAACAAGAGACTACTTCTAGACTGCAGACCTGCGTGTGTGTGTGTGTGTGCGTGTGTTGTTGTCACCTGTTGCGGGAGATGAAAGCAGAGTACTCCATCCTGTGAGTGGAGCCAGTTGGCGTCACTTTGCTGGACGTCAGCAGCATGAAGATCAGGTGAGGGTTTGACAAAGCGCTCTTCAGCTTTTCGTGGACCAGCTTCTCTCTGAACGTCACGTGCTGCTCCGTGTGCCTGCGCTGCCGGTACCAGCCGATCACTTTATCCTGCACCGACCAAACACACCTTTTCACTTTTAAAATAAGTCACTTTAAGCATGCCACGTTGAACGGTTTGAGTCGCACACATCACGATAAAACGTGTCACATCGACACGAAATCACCCCGATGCAGGTTCATCGCTCACCTGCGTAATTTTTGCCAGCATATTCTGCAGAGCGTCCATGTTCACCTCCCCAGAGCTTGCGTACAAACTGATACATACACACACTATCACACTGTAAGCTCGTTATTGAAACAGCACATCAACATCATCTGTGCAGGACTCACGCGTTCAGTCTGTGGCAGGCGATGTGCTTCTGGATATCTGTCAGAGAAACACTGATTACTCACAGTAATCTGACTGAAGTACTCTTTTAAATGTACCAGAGTGCACAAGCGTTCACCCTAGTGAGTAGTATTCTGAGCTTTAATGGTATCAGCAGTAATAGTACTACAAACTTTTTTTTAGGAAAAACAAAAATCAAAATTAGATTTTATGTTTTTGAATTGAATCTAATCTTGTCAGGACATGCTTACTTTGAAGTTCGGAGGAGAATAAAGCACGCTGCGTCATGGGAACTTACTGTAAACTTCTTCAATGTGAATGTGATCAGACTGCGAGTCGCTGATGGTGACCTGCTCATCAACCCTGCTCTCTCCCAGGATAAAACCCTCCTAACAGACAGGGATCAGAAAACACACATCTGAACAGAAATGACCCCAAAGAGCGTGTATGCTTCTTGGTTTAGTAGCACAGTATATCATCAAAATTTAAAAGACTCGGGGGTTGTTTGCAGGGTGAATTATTGCTCCAGTTTCAAGCTTTGTGATGTGTAATTTCACTAATGTCGGTAATAACATGGTGATGTGTATGCATGGAGATCCTGACACTAGTTGTTCCTGAAAGTGTAACTTACCCCCCCTGTGAAAAGATAACTCCGCCCCAAGGCGAAATTTGAAAAATGCATCAAAGTGGGTAGGGGAGGTGTGGCCAGGACGAGAGAACGGGACAGCCTCGGCTGAGCTGTCCGCCTCACACCACACCAGCCTCGGACAGAGGAGGTGGAGCGCTCCGCGACAGCCTGACATAAAATAATAAAAGCATACAGCTGCAGCTGCTCACAAGATCACT